GGACCTTCACAAGTTCATTCTAGACAGTGAAGAAATAGAGTAAAAGAATGGAATCAAACATTGATAGAAATGGGAACTGAAGTCAGGAAACCAGAAGAAAACTAAGAATGGGAGGGTGGCTATGAAAGAACTAGAAAAGATCCTAAAATGCAAAGACATACAACTCAGCACAAAAGTTAGAATTAAACAAGCCATTGTATTCCCTATTCCCATGGATGGATGTGAAAGCTGGACAGTCAAGAAAGAAGAAAGGAAGAAAACCAATGCATTGGAGAGAATGTGGGACTGGAGAAGAGTGCTGAGGATCCCATCGACAGCCAAAAGGACAAATAAAGGGGTCCTAGAGCAGATCAAGCCAGAAATATCCCTAGAAGCCAAGATGACAAGACTTGGACTGTTGTATTCTGGACACATCATGAGAAGGCATGAATCATTGGAAAAGACAATAATGCTGGGAAAGGTGGAGGGAAGTAGAAAGAAAGGAAGGCCACATGCCAGATGGATGGGCTCTATTAAAGAGATCACAAGTATGAGTTTGCAAGAGTTGTGCAGAGCAGTGGAGGACAGAGGGACTTCTTGGAGATGTCTTATAAGCAGGGTTGCCATGGGTCAAGATTGATGAGAGGGCGGTGAACAACAACAAACAACAATATATTTCTCAGGCAGGACCATCTCATAAAATGCATAGCTGTCTGAATGGTTGAAGACAGAGAGAAAGACATCCTTTTCAAACTGCAGCAGTTGGCGTAACCTGGGAGGTCAACACGCCGGTCTTAGCTTGCATTCTTTGAAGATATTGCTACCAGGGTCGAAGTGGCAATTGGAATTCAATGGCCATGAAACTCTTAGTCTCCTTCTGAAAGCGCATTTGACAACGCTTCACCTTCGAGATAAATGGCTAGAGTGAAGAGGCTGAGAACAGGTGCTGAAAGAGGAGGACGCCTTGCATTTAAGCTTAGATAATACCAACATCTATTGGGTTAGGGAACCTTTCAGAAAGAAGAGCTAGGACAAGCTGAGAGAACAATAGAGAAAGCTTGATATGGGAAAATACGAGAGCAGCAGTATTTACACACATTTTTTCACAAGGATCTTTCACTGCAAGGGTTTCAAGAGATGGTTCTAACAAAAATAATATTTTTTTGCGTAAGAACAATCATCTCCTCCTGCAACGATAAAGCCTCGTTTCTCCTGTCTTTCTTAAGTTCATCTTCAAAACACTTGTTCCTGAAAGCCCAGGATTTCAGCCGACGTGTCACCCATCTTTCAACAAAACCCAACCTTCCTCAGAAAATGTTCAGGCCTAATTTCTCAGGGATGCCATCTTGAAAAAATAATGGAAGAGGGCCCATACCACACAACTGTGGCGGCTGCACTGTGTGGCTTCATTTATCAGTTGTGACATTGCACAACACAACACAACCTCTTGCACATCCCCATCCCTATGGGCAAGGTGTGTTAATGTGCTTGTGCATTTGAGCACAACCACGTGTAATGTGCATGCACACCCACATGACATGAACATGTGCTGTTCTCCTTCTGCAACCTTGAACTGCATATGGCTGTTATTACACGTTGGACAAAAACGTTGATCTGTCCCTTGCACATGCATAAGACACCAACAAGACTCCAGCTAGCTGAGTTGTAACTTATCAGATGTTTTAGAGATTTCACCTCCCATAATCCCTTGCCACTCATTATGCTAACTAAGGCTGATGGGAGCTATAAG